CGGCGGGGTGGGGGGGGGGGGGGGGGGGGGGCTTCAGGCTCATCGCTTATTCTGGCTCATCGATTACTTTTCCTGTGTGCGAGAGAGCTCAGCGATCAGCTCGTTCTGTCTTGTTGTCAACGCAAACATGGCGCGAGCTGGATCTTTCGGGAGTTAGAGAAGTGAAATAAAGCGATATATTCATGTTTTACTAATTTGCAGAACATTGAAAACGTACACCAGGAGACCGGAACGTGAAATAAAGTGTTTCAGTCTCTTACAGAGTTGAATCTCGTTTTAAAGGAATTTTAGGAGTTGTGCGGTATTTTAAGTGCAGGCAAGTTTCACTTCAGTCCGATCTATAACAGGGCAGCAGCATCTAACCAAGGCCTCAATTATTTCATTTGTAGACTTATGTAGGCATGGATTATTTAATTATTAGTGGCAAGCATCAGTTACTATTGTTCATACACGGTTGGGGACTTGAACAAACCGCTAACCCGCAGTACCAAACTTCTGTTTGTAAAACGGCCCGCAGAGTTTGTGCTGCGGACATGAAGTTACTAGCTATCGGATTTACGACTTGCAACGAACGAGGGACCCGAACCAAATCTAGGGCCCATAATATAATGCAGACTTGAAGGTGGGCTCTTTTAGCTTGGGCCAAACTTAGCAACTGCATAGGAAGACTTTGTCAACCACACAGCATCGTTGCTTTAGAATATAAAGTTTATTTTATAGCCTTATTTATTGTATTAATTCATTTATGAATGTATACACTTTCATGTTACACAAGTCTGATATATTTATTTTATTTAACGGTATCAACATAAATTCCTGATTTATTTATATTTCAATTAAATGACTTTCACAGCTCTGATTTATTTAGTAAACTTAAACAGGCTTACATTTATTAAATATTTAAATGTGTGCATGCCTAATTGTTTTTAAGCTTTGTTTTACTTTTGTGTCTACATTTATAACCAGGCCAGTGGAGATTGTTGTAGGTCAGGGGTGCCCAAACTTGGTCCTGGAGGGCCGGTGTCCTGAAGAGTTTAGCTCCAACCCCAATTAAACACACCTGAACCAGCTAATCAAGCTCTTACTAGGCATTCTAGAAACTTGAAGGCAGGTGTGTTGAGGCAAGTTGGACCTAAACTCTGCAGGACACCGGCCCTCCAGGACCGAGTTTGGGCACCCCTGTTGTAGGTACAGCTTTTGATCATAATTGGGACATACAAGACTGTGTATAGATGTAGAAACAACATGTTACAAAACATTAAAACGTGCAGTATAAAGTTCAGTTCGTACTCTGAAATATATTTCAGATAAAGGATTTATGTGGAGTAGTTAAAATATTCCTAATAGGCTATGATGATACAGATGCATGTAAACGATTGCTGAGCAGCCTTACAATTGTTGGAATTAAACACTTCAATCTGTTTTAGTGAACGGTAATCTAGGGCATCTGCATGCTATTATTCAAACATCATATACTTTATTTACAGAACAGGACTGGAGCCATGACTGCAAGCACAGGTGGCGGCGGGAGCTGTTTATCCATGAGTCTGTCTGCCCTAAAGAGACTCGACCCCTACATTAGCAGCATCACAGACCTGGCCAGTCAAGTAGCACTTTACACCTTCAACAACACCACTAATGAATGGGTAAACGATTATATCAACACAATCAATGACAGTTAATGGATATATAGATTAATGACTACTGTAAAAAAAAATATTTATACATATTTTTTTTAAATGTTAGTTTATTTTTATTTTAAGTTAAATATAAATATATATATTTTTTTCCTGCAGGAAAAGACAGATGTGGAGGGAGCTCTGTTTGTCTATAACAGGTTTGTATGTTTTCTGGTGTTTTCAGCAGTGAAGCAGCACACACA